AATAACAAGAATATATTCGGTACACTGGGAAAGAGGAAAGATGGAGGACAACATCAGAGGCTGGAATGACAACAGCTGGGGCCTCCAGGAGAGTAATTCTTTATTTTAGAACATTTAGAATGATAACCCTAACCCTAACCTGTTTGCAAGGAATTTCTGTAGTCATTTGTTTCCTGAAATCCACACTCCCACACAGGGTTGAAAGGGTTCCAAAAAGGAAAGTTTTTAACAGCTTTTTAGAAGCCAAATTTCAGGAAACCAGCAGCTGTGGAGATGAGAGGCTCAAACCTCTCCTTCCCATGTGCCATGGTCCCGGTTTCCCTACCCCTCTGGGACTGAGATGAGAACAATTGGGGACAATTCTGTTTGGACTATATTATAATCAAGCTCAGGAAGCTGCTCTGATTTGAATTTCCCATATTAATATGCAGATTGAAACACAGTGTAATTCAAATGATACATTTCTCAGAATTTTGCAATGCAGTACTTGGCTCAAATATAGCATATACTAATGGGCATATTGTGGAAAATTGTTTATTTTTATTACTAGATGTATGTGGAAATTGTATGGAATGAACTTATAATGAATACACAGGAACTTGATTTGTCCATCTCTAGTAATGGAGAAGTGTGACTGTGTGTACCGTGGGGTGACACATTTGATGAAGTGGAGGAATTCAGCACTCCCTTCTCTCCAATTGTACCCTAACAATGCTACGCCTGCACTTGTGCTTTGGAGTAAAGCATCTGCAGAGGCAACATGCAGTTCCACCTTGTGATACGGTATGTTTCCCACACATTTATCTAAATATGTGCAAGCATGCAATAGTACATCCTCCCGGCACAAAACCTTTCCTATCCTTTGCAAATTCTCTGCAGAATGTAATACAATGTAAATTAATCCACTGTATCAAATTACAAACTCTATGTTTAAATTTAATATATGTACAGTGTAGAAGAGTACAACCATTTCATCTGCCTCCCTCAGTAACAAATATTCCAACTCACTGAAAATCGAAAATCAGAATTATTTCCTGATTCCATCCTGCAGTCATTGTACAATATATTCTTTGTCAAAGCAATAGGCTATTAAAACATCCAGGAAGTTAAAAGAATTCAAAGCTTTTTTTTTTTTTGTTCCCAAAGACTCACCTAGCTGATTCATAATTTGTTTTAGAAAAAATCATTTGTCAGCTTCCTATGTACATTAGAGGGTTTTTTTTTTAAGTACAGGTAGTTTACACAAGCATCCCCAGCATTTCCATCACATTGCTTAATCTTCTCTTATAGCCTTTCCAGCTTAATTTAAAAGTTATGTCCTGATTATTAGTGTCCACCAATGATAAAAATGTTTTGCAGAGTTGCTTCACAAATCTGGAACAAAATGTTCTTGCTAAGTGTTACAGCATTTCTGTGTAGCTTTGCAGGGAATTTAAATAAAATTTTACTCTTTGTTAACTCTGATAATATATTCCTATTCTGTATGAACAATGCATCAATGAAGTTAGAATGCAAATTCTGATTTTGAAGCTATTTGATTATGTTTTTTAACCAATGTGTTTTTGATTGCTTGAAATCTTATTTCCCCCTTCCTCCAGTATCCATTAACATGAAGCATGATGTGTGCATCTGTTATTTTATTGAGATCTTAGCTGGTGTATGATATTAATTTGTACTTTTGTGCATTTTGAAAATGAATAAAGATAACAATCTGTCATACCAGTCTGTGCCAATCAAGAAACAAAGCACAGTACAGAAAGTGTACTGTACAGAACAATTTTACACTCAACCCAGCAGCCCAATTCTAAATATTACACTGGCATATTTGGGCATGATATTTGTAGCATCTCTGCAATACTGGGTAGCACAGTGGCTTTTTATATTGTGCTGCTTCACTATACTGTCATTTGTTTCTGTAATGCATGTTATGAACAGCCTGTACAGGGCATGGGTGCTTTTTATCCATCATGGAAGAAGGCTTCACATGCAAAGCCCATCATTCAACCAGACAACTAATTAAACTATGAAGTGTTCTTCACTAACATCCATTCAGAAACTACCATGAAAAGTATGATAGCTGACTAAATACATGCAGACATATTACTTCTCTGAGGCCTGGTTTCATTTAGCTTTGCCAATTATAAAGCTAGAGCACTTAGGTTGCCCTAATGTTATAACATGCTATCATCAGAGGAGGAGGGATGCCAGCATTGGAGGTAACACTATAATTAGGGTGATCCCAGATTATCCAACCTTCCATATATTACTGAGGTTACCATGGAGCTAGATCACGAGGAAGCATTTTTATTGTTTCTACTGCTTCTGCACTGAAGCTGCAATCCTATACCTGCTTATCAGGGAGCTGAACCCAATGGGGCTTACTTGTAAGCAGACAGTTTTACAGTTGTAATGTGCTACTTTAATAGGGCCTAAATCAATCTGACTTTGTGACAAAGCTGCATCACGCTGTACAAATTCACATCTGAATGAACTGCTAGTGGTGGGTTTATGATACTGGTACATTGCTAAAGCTGGGGTGTATAAGTAATAAATAACTTAAGTTTTTCACGTCCAAAAATCACTAGTTAGAAGAAATGTAGCCAGTTTTAGAAGTTGCTGCTGGGGAAAACTACATATATATGAATTATGCCTAAAGATGTAGGAAAAAATAAGAAAAATGAAGCCACATGTAACAGATATAGTTTAATTTATTTTCTCATTTGAGACCTGGTAACTTTGGTGATAATCAGTTTTGCCACAGACCTTTCTTTTGGAGTTTCAATAAAAATGATTTGGTATTCATACAGATTCTGTTTTTTTCAGAGTACCTGAATAAACATAACTTCTTGTTTATCCATCTCTGAGAGGGGTTTATGAGTTTTATGGAATCCTCTATGTTGATGTATTTGAGATAACACAACAAAAATCTGGGATATTATTCCCTTTTTGTGATATTGCCTGGCTTATTGGTGGCTGGTTTGCAGGGGATGCTGTATGAGGCATACGGCCTGAGCAGAGCTGGCTGGAGCCGGGGGGTCAGACTACATGGCCCAAGAGGCCCCTTCTGACTTGCTCTGTTTCTATGTTATTAAGGATATTTGGAAAAAGTAAAACTAGATTACTACAGGAGAGAAGTAATATAGAAAATGGCAATAATTTTCTATCAATGGAAACAAACAAACAAATAGTTCTGTTGGCTAGTTCACAGTTTCTGCCTGCTAATGCCATAGAAACTCAGCACACTATCCAATATGGCTCTCCATAGCCCACCAAACTGAAAAGGATCATGGACATCCAATGGATGGTGGGAAAAGTGCAGAAGTGAGGATTACTTGGTTCTCTTCCTGCTCCACAAAACATGTAGGCTGCAGATTTCAGCCATGTAACTTCTGTGCCTGCTTATGAGGAGCAGAAGCTGAGGTGCCAGCAGAGTCCATCATATCCCCATGAAGCCTGACCCTTCCTGACCTCCCAGTGCCAGTTCAAAGACTGATCTTGTGACCTTAGAGCTGCAGCTGGTGTGGAAAGGATGGGTGGGTGCTCCACCAGATCCCATCCCAGACTGCGTTTCTTAGGTTGGAGCTGGAACTCTCTCATAGGCATCTAGACAGCGTCTAGTGGCCACTGAATTGTGTTCTGAATGAACAGACCATTGGTCCATCTAGCTCAGTACTTACAGCAGCTTTGCAGGGCTTCAGGTACAAGTATGTGTCTGCCCTATCTGGAAATACCAGGGTTGAACATGAGACCTTTTGCATCTGGAAGCATGTAGACCACTGGGGGAAGCCCACTACACAACAGTGCTCAGCTACTAGATGCTTTTGCTCTATTGACCCTTGGTGGTCTGCCAGGAATGTTCCTATTGCCTGACTCTGTTGCTGGTGGCTGCATCTCACCAACTCCCACTGATCTGTAGAATGGGGATGACGTACATTGAAGCATTTCTCATGCAATGCTAAGCCTCAGCAAGAAAGTGCATGGACCTAGTTCTGTTTCGGGATCTCTTTCAGAAAGAACCAAAGTGGGCTGTAAGGTGGGTCTTACATTTGTAAAAAAAATAAGGGTACAGTCTGACATCTCTGAATTCATTTTTTTCCAGTGAACCACAAATCTGTGCTTACTGTCCTCCTTAAAAGGTCACAATTGTAACTAAGCGGATAGCTGTTAAGGTGGCACCACACTCCCCTCAGCTCCCTGCTGCTAAAGCCCAGCTCATCTGCTTCCAAGAGAGCTGATGTTCTGAGGGTGTTCCTCATCGGAGGATCAGAGAACGAGCCTCAGTTTCCACTCCGCGCAATATTGCTCCATTATAGGGCTTTTGCAGAGATTGCAAGTCGCCAGTATTCGTGAAGTACTGTGAACACTGTACCTGAACTACTACTACACCATTCTTATTCTGAAGACTGAACATGGACTTTCGGCAAGCACAGCTTCATACACGAGTTAACTGCCTCGTCGGCGCGGCACGTGAGGAGAGTGGAGGAGCGCTGCTCTCTCAACGAGGCATGCAGCCTCCCAGGGCAGCTGTGCATAGGGACGAGCCGAGGGCGGGAATCGGGAACCTCGAAGCTGCTGAGGGAGAGGCGCGAGCGCACAGAGGCAGCGCTGTGCGGGCCGCGCCCGCAGGTGCTCTCCAAGTGGCATCCGCGGGATCGCCGCCGCCTGCCTCTCCCCACGGCCCCAGTCAGCGCCCGCCTGCCGCTTTTCACACGGGCACACCCCGCTAGTGCGCGCTGCATATTCCCGCTGGCCAAAGTCTGCTCCTTCCCGGTCGTTTTGCTTTCGCCCCAAGCAGCCTTCCACGGTATCCCTCCGGCACTCCGCAGCCGTGCGCTCACGCTCGGAGTCCTTTCCCACTGCCCTTCCACTCAACCGCCCGCCTGCAACCTCTCCCCTCCAACGAAATCTCCGCGCGGAATGCTGTGGCGCTGGCTACGCCCGTCCCCGCGCCCTAACTTTACACCCGTCCCTACCGCGACCTGTCTCGAGAGGTCCCTTACCTTAGGAAGGCGGCGCGGCACCCTGTCCCGCTCCGCGGCTGCCATCCACTCTGGGGCGTGCGGACGCTGCGCTCGAGCACGAAGTGCGGGCGGAGAACAGCGCGGACGAGACCCGACCGTGTCTGCGGCGGCGGCGGCGACGGCGAATGCCCGGTGTCAGGCAGGCAAGGCGAGCGAATGAGCGCGCTTATCCCCGAGGGGGCGGGATCAGGCAGGCAGCCTGGGCTGGTCCGGACGCGCGCTCCAGGGAGGGGACGGCTCGGGAGGAGCGAGAGCGCACGCCGCCCGCAGCTGCTGCCTCGGTCAGGTACGAGCTTCCGCCCAGCGGGGGCGGGGCGCCGAGCCAGTCCCTTGTACCTGGCCAGGTCGGTGTTTCCAGTGCCGTGGGCGATGCGGGGGCCCTCTGGTAGAGAACGGCTCGAACGGTTCTCCAGGAATTGTACCTCCGCCCCGAACACGCGCGGTGCTGGGCCCGAGGGAGACATTTTCTCTAGTGCTCCATCTTCTCCATGACCAGGAAACGGGCCGACCACTTTATTTAAAAAAAGGGAAAAGAAATGCCAGAAACAGTGCCCAGTGCAGCAGAATGGGTAGGGTGACAGACTCTGGGTTTTAGTCCCATTTGGTCATGCAGCTCACTAGACTTTGGGTAATCTTTGATTCAGCCTAACCTGCCTCGCAGAGTGGTGGTTGTTCGGATAAAATGGAAAGAAGGACAGATGCCTTGGATTTCTTGCAGGAAAAAAGTGGAATATAAATAAATATAATGTGATAGAAAATAACCATTTGGAGAAAATAACCATTGTAATACATTCTTATGAAATTCTTAGGAAACCTATAACAGCCAGAATCCACCCACAGCAAAATGACATGGGCTGGAATGCCAATGTCCAAGTGGCCAAGCCAAGCAAATTCACCAGTCACATATGGTTAAATGGGAGTGATGAAATAGCTGCAAAATGTCAACAGGAACCACATACTGGGCAACAGTTTATATTCCAGAGGAAGGTCCAGAAAACCAGTTTCTCCAGAAGACTTATCAGAAGAAACTAAAAATATGTTCTTTGCTATTTTTGCATGTTTGGCTCTTGATCTTTCTCCTGCTTGTTAATTTTAAAGAATAGATTATAGTCTAAATGGTGGAGAGAATGAATCAGCAAGAGCAGTAGGATGATGCGTGTGACAGTGGTCCAGAGATCTGGGTTCAAATTTTCACTCAACCAGGAAACTCCTGGGGAAGGTTCACACATGACAATAAGCAACAATGGAAACTGTGCTGGGGTGCGGGATGGGCATGGTCTGTCTGAACCCAGCAAGCATGAGGAAGCATTACATGTTTGGTGTCCATGGAATCATGCAGAGACACAACAGCTTTAAGCTCTAAGGTTTCCATGCGTCACTATTGCTTGTTTTGCAGCCTGAACCTAGAAACAAACCTTTCCTGTGGTTTCCATGTTCTGACCACAGAGTTCTGATTATAGAAGCAGCCATTGTTGCAGCAGAAGCGCCTGCCTGCACTCTTAGCTCTCCAGACCATCCTGGCAACTGCTGAGTTGCAGGAAGCAGTGCTCTGACTGGCTGTTCCCTTTCTGCCTTCCCAGCTCATGGCTTTCAGATGCGCCGCACCTGGAATCTCATCAGCAGTGGGACATTGCACTGTGCTACCTCCAGCAGCAGCCGCAGCCATGGAGACAGCTGTGCTTGGTGCTCCAGTCCGGTTGCTGAACTTGACTGGAGTGGTGCTCTGAAATGGCTGTGTGTTTGGCCTACTCTGGGGGTAGGCTGCCTTACACATGAGGTACATATAGGATATGCACAGGTATCGCCATGAGGGCAATTGCCCTGAGAAAGTTGTGTCTCCTCCTTTGTTTCCTGCCTTTTCCTCTTTTCCCGCCCCTGGCATGCTTAAGGACTCTCAGCAAGCCCTCCTGTTTCTTATCGCCCACACCCCACCCACAGCTGCAGGACAAATACAGGCCTAACAACCTGCTGGAAAACTTCCCCAGGCAGTTGTGCAGATGGGCTCCCTTGGGAAAGGCTGCCAGTCAGGATGCCCACCCTCCATGCCTGGCATGGGTGCCTGTGCTGATGCCCTCCATATGCCTGGCTGCAGGGAAGGCAGCCTCTGGCAGCAAGTTCAGGTTCTGTACATGGTGGGGCATGGACACATCTGCAGTGAGGAAAAGGGAGGGGTGCGTGTGGGAGGGCATGCCTGCACATTAGAGACCACACTAAGGGAGCGTGTGGGCCAATGAAGGAGGGACAGGTGATGCACGCAAGAGCATTGTGCACACTGGGATTGATTCTGAGTCATGGGGGCTAGTGGGAGACTGGCTGCCATTTGGAGGGAAGATGGAGAAGCACGGAAACCACGCATGCGTGGAAACCAAGTGTCTGTCTGAACTCACAATACAAGGTGAGATACTGTGTTGAGCAGTTACCATGCAGCCTTGGTTGGTGTTATGGGTGAATGCACCCACTATGTAGACTTGGGCAAGTTGTATCTTTCAGCTGTGATGATGGAGATGCAGTGAGATCCATCTCCAGTTAAGTTATTAAGTTATAAGTTAAGATATCTCTTGGCTACCTTTCAGGGCAGAAAATAATATATAGCAATAGAACATCTAAAAGCAGTACAGTGTTAAGAATAAAAGAAGCTCATTAAAAACTGTTAAGTACATAATAGCAGTTAAAATGACAGCAAAGTCAGCAAACGGCTGACTGTTTCTCAGCAGCAACGATAACAATGATATTAGAAGGTCAGAGTAAATTACTATTTTTCAAGACCTTCTCGAATTCCAGCAGTGGCAGAGTGATAGCAAGTGATACTCCTGAGAAAGTCCTCTCACATGTGGTCATCTGTTTAATTGTTCTCACAGATGGGCAAATAAGAAGGGCAACTGTAGCTGATCTTAAGTGTGGGTAGGCTAATATTGCTGCAGGGAGGTTTTGATTCTAAACCACTCAAGGCTTGAAGGGTGAAAGCCAGCACTTTAGGTCCAGAAACATTCAGTCCAGGCATTATTATGATCAAATCAATTTCTTTACCTAGAACTCAGTCGGCCACATTTTGCACTGGCTGAAGCTTCTGAATCGTCTTCAAAGGGAGCATTGTGTGTGTGTACCACGACAGCCAGTGTGGTGTGGTAGTCAGCATGCTGGACTGCAAACCTGGAGAATCTGGATTCTAGTCCCCATTTGACTGTAAAGCTCAATGGGTGACTTCGGGTCAGTCACTTACACTCAGCCTCACCTACCTGGTGTGAGGTTAGTGTGAACTAGCAGAGGACTATGTAAGTAGTCTTAGGTTCCTCATAAAGGCAGGACATAAAGATGGTAGTGATGAAGATATGGCATATTAGCCTTGTGCAACCTGAGCATCACCAGGGTATGAATAGCTGCAAGAAGGTCTGTCTTCTTGGCCACAGCTGGCATACCAGCCAGAACTGGTAAAATGGATTTCTGGATGCCACAGTCACCTGGATTTCTCCAGTTGGTGCAGTCTTGGCCTTCCAGGCTGCACACTTAGAATTCTCTGGGGAGTGCAACCTTAGCTAAGATCAGTTGTAAACATCCATCCAGTAACTCCATCTTGTCTGTATAAGTTACCCTCATCCTTACCAAAACATCCTCCATCTAGTTCATGAGTTGCACATGCCACCTTGAGCGTGCTAGAGGAAAGTTGGAATACAAAAGGTAACCTCTGAGATTAATTCAGTGTATCTGAATCCATTGATTTCTGTGGGTTAGGGTGTCCTCAGTTCTGCGTGGGATTGAGCTGCAACAACTCCAGGAGACTCGCCAATAAATTTGTCAGATATTGGTGAAGGGCTCACTTGGAATTTGGTATTCTGGACCATTTTCAAGAATATGGACTATTGCCTGGAATGTAGCTTCTACGGATGTTTTATGATTGATTGCATCATTCCTTTCTAGTCATGTAGCCAGATAATAATGTTTTTTCCAGTTACTTTTTGGAAACTACCCATCCATTTTTTCAAAAGTTACACGTTCAATAGGACTCAGTGTCAATTTAGCAATTGTGAAAGTTGTGGAAACATTCCTGCATAGGGCAGTTGCACTGAGAGGGTTGTGGGTGTGCAGACAGACATACCATTTGGCCCAGGTACATGAGCACAAAGTTTTAAGGCTGCAAAGGGATAATAAATATTTGATTCTTCTTACAATAGTGGCACATTGTTACTGTTACTGTTGTTACTGTTGCAGAAAAGTCAGCAAAAAAGGGGACAATGTACAGGGAACAGTCTGATAGCAAGCTTGGGAAAGAATTAGACTGAAGTTTGGTATAATGCAAAGGTGAAAGACCCAATTTACATAGGTGTGTTCCTTTAAATAACTGATGTATTTTACATGAGTCTATTTTGTACTCTGATATGCAGGGTAATCCATGTGAAGCTTTCTGGAACACCATTGCAAATTGGAACAGGCAGTACTGAGATAGCTGTACTATTGACCTAAGTCATGAACTCACAAAACTTCACTCTTATCCCAGTTTTCAGTGAATACTGTCATTCAGTACTGTGAAAGGAAGAAAGATAGCAGCATGGAAACCTGAATAATGTGAGCAAAACCTGTAGTCCCTGTTGGAGGCAGGAAGTATATCGTATTACATAAAAACTGACTAAATTATGAGAAGCTAAATTCCATTTGCTGGAATTATTTAATCTGATCATGTATGTATAATCAAGGCTCAAGGTTATTCAGTTCCTGCCTATGATTGCTTTTACTTCTGTGTTCCCAACGATATTAATTCACCATTGGCTGTAGCTAAACTATTAGGTAACAGTGCAATTTTATGTGTCTCCTCAAAGGTAAGTTCCATTAAGTCTAGTGGGACTAACTCTCAGGTAAATATAAAATTATGAAAAATCATTAAGGACTTCAACAAAAGCCTGTTTAGATAGAAAAAGCCATTAACTCCCAGCATGTCCCAGCCCACCAAGTTCACTGGGGCATGTTTGGAGCTGTATGCCTTTTTCTGTATAAACATGCATAGGATTACACGTTAAGCAGGGCTGTGGATAAGAGGACTGAGTAGACTGCGAGGGCACAGAGTACCCAGTAATCCACATGGTAATTGCTTATGTCCATGCCATATTACATGGGAGTTTGGGAGTACTATTACATCTGTGAAAGC